TCAATCCTCTCAGCTGAAACCAGGACAACCCCACACCCCACCATCAGCCTAGGAAAAAGCCCAAGGAGTCCACTACATTTTCAGTAACAGTCTCTGTCTTATGTTAAAAAAAAAAAAAAAATTAGACTGAAAGCTGCATGTTATAATTTTGTAAAACAGGTTTTGTACAACTTGCCTTCACAAATTTTATCTTTCCTTATAAAGTAGAAATTCCACAATTTTACCAGCTCCCCTTGCTAGAAAAATACTAAAAGTCTCCCTCACAGTTTCTCAGGATTACAGCCCTAACTGGAAACATAGTTTTGATTTTTCTTTCACTGAAGTCAGTGGGAATTTTGCTATTCACTTCATCGAGGGCCATCCCGCCCTATCCTTCAGTGACTCAACTCTGGTAGTCACTTGGCTACAAAGACCAGTGAAATTGAGCCCAGCATTAAGAACACAGTGTGCAAGCTGGTGTCCTCTGCTGGTCTCCTATGAAATTTCAGGGAGTCACTGGAGTGCCCATACTTCGTATGTAGAGGTTCATGCCTATCCCAACGAGTCTTTGGGGCTGACAGACAGATCTGTGTGCAAACACTTCTTCCAAGACCTCAGAAAGGGCTAAATGGGCAAACATGCCCAGGCTGCTGTTGCTCTTCCAGGATGCCATGATGTGCCTGTCCGGAAGTCAGGTACGGCTGGGTTCACAGTGAACAGAAGTGCTGTCTGATGCTGTCACGTAGCAATTTGAGAGGAGACAAGGCAAAATTTTAAGACAAGCAAGTTTTTTTGATTATGAGTTTTAAACCATGAGCAAGGACAGAACGACAGTTGCACGTTGCAATGTTTATTCTTTAGGTCTTCATCTCTTTTTTCACCCTAAGCACATGTATGGGTGGGCATGTCTTTTTGAGACCCATGGAGAGGCACACAGTAGCTTCAGCACACAGCAGAATGTAGTGGTTTGGTGAAAGAGGTCACAACATGGCATTTACTGTTTGATTTCTTCTAAGGTCAATGAAATATCTGCTATGCTGGGAAAGGACTTTACAGTGACTCCCTCCAAGCTTCTTCAGTTTGATCCAGGTATGAACCGGTGCACTGAATAATTTTAAAATTAATTAATTGATTTTGAATGTGTAAACTCTCATTTTGGAAAATGAAACCTGTTATGTATCTGTAGTTAGAGGAGCTGAATAGATTAAAGACACTTGATCTCATTTTCTGGAAGTGCAGTGGGCTTCCTTTGTGAATTAGTATCCTTACCACTCAGGATGAGATGGCGTACATCAGTTTAAATATCAAAAGTGCTGAAATGTTGTCTCCTAATCTCCCTCCAGCTAGGCTGGGGAGGACTCACCCTGAGCTGATCTGTGAGATGCTCTAAAGATTTAAGACATAATAGGTAAAGCTCAGGAAGCTGTTCAAATGTAGGCAAAACTGAGTACAACTTAAGTTGTGTAAGGCATTCAAGACCAGAAAGGTGCAAAAGAACCTGAAAATTTTCAGACCTCATCTCTGCTTGCACGGTAATCATAACAGCAGTCTGACCTTGGCTGAGGTTGTAAATAGCAAGAAATTATAGTAACTGTATTATCAAAGGAGCTTGGTTTTTTTGTTGTTGGGGGAGAATGAATAGTAAAATTAAATACAAATGTGAAGATACTGGAAAAAAAGCTTCCTCTGTTCTGCACAATTTATTATTATTATGCTTTGATTATCTCCCTGGGTCTAGGGAAAAAAACAGTCTCGGTGACAGTTTCACAATTTACCATTCAGAAATTCAGCTTCACCTGAAAAACTCATTTTTTCTCATATGAATAGAGTATCTGGGAATGAAAACCCATTTGCTATCATAATCACTTTCTTTGCATACATAAGTCTCAGGTTTTTTGGAACACAGCCTGTTGGCATAGTCCAGGATTTATTTGAGTTTAGAAAATGGGGTCTGCGCAGGCCTCCCAGGATGTTGCCTGCAATGCCAACAGAGACTGCCAGCAGTAAGATTTCAGTGGCAGAAAGTCACAATGACTACAGAGGAGACAAAATTTATAATCTGTGAAAGGCTGAAATAAATGGCATGTATATGATGGTTAAAATTAGTGTAAGTGCTTATCTGTATTTGAAAAACAGATATGGGGAACATAATAAGTCAGTTCCAGCCAAAGCCTGGGGTTTTTTACTTTAGGACTTAAGATTTTTATTTTGGAATAAAAAAAGCATTGCATGCTACAGAAATTATGTAGCTTTGCATCCACGGATGAATTCATATACATCCCTTGGCTATCCCATAGGAAAACTTGTAGCTTTAAGTTCAGAGTCACAAATCTGATTATTTTGGAAATCTGCCACTACAGCCCATCTTGAGAAAGGCAAATTTTATGTAAAGGTGTAGAATGAGCAATTGCTGGTTAGTTTTCAGACGTAGATAAGGGAGGACACCCAGTAAGCAGCAGTGAAAAAAAAACTGTGTGGAAGGGTGGAAATCTGCCCTAATTTCCAGTGTTTCTGGAACACACATGAAACTTCTGAAAGCAATGAGCCTCTCTCTCAGACCCTTCATCTAGCATTAGTTTTTTTTTTTTTTTTTAGTTTTATATTAGGAGATGGAAGAAAGATCTGAGAGATCAGTGTAAAAGAGTCCTTCATACTGTGCTGACCCAGGATTCCAGCTCTTTCCTCTAATGTAATATACAGTCAAGCTTACCACCCTCTGGACTGAAATGGCTAGAGTTTGTTGCAAAGAGATTTTTAGTGCAAGACGCTTTACTAGAATTTTCTTTTTCTGCTGGTCCATGCAGATGCTCCAAGTATGGGACAGTTTGGAGTTGCTGTTATTGTCTTTCTGAATATGGTAGTAAGCCATGTGAAAATTAACTGTGGACGTGGGCAGGAGAGATGCGCACTGTTCCTCTTTTCTTGCCCAGCTTCTCAGTTAAACCAGCTGAGCTCCCTCACACAGTCTTTTTTGGGTGGCTCTCTTCAAAAGTCCTTTGCTTAGGCTTAACCTTAGGGAAGGACCCTCCAAACTATTACATTCAAGGCATCCATTTCTTAGTTCTAGATTCAAGATGTTTGATATTTATTAATTAGTGGTATTTGCTAATTATTTAGTGAGGCTGACAGGTTTGTTTTAAAAACAAACCTCAACTATGCTAATTGAGTGGACTGATTGGCACATGAGACTGCAAACAATAAACTGCAGCACATGAAGACCCTATCCAACTTCATGGGTCTGTTTGTATAGACAGCTTCTCTTAGCTAAATGATTCATACTGGAAAGGAACAAGGAAATAGAGGTTATGCAGTGTCATAAGGATATAGAATTTTTTTTTTTTACAGTGTTGCACATTTAATCTTTGATATTCATTTTGGATGTTAGCACTGACTTTGCGATGCAGAAACAGTTCACAAGATGTTTTGTTGACAACAATGTGTATGTTGAGATCTGTTTCTGTCCTGCTACCTGCCTCTGACTTTTCCTGAATAAATTTTGCCTTTTGGGTAATAACCAGCCTAGTCCTTTAGCTTGGAATGATCTTTTTCATTCCTGTAATACAAGCCTGAAGTTACCCAGTAAAAGCAAGTTACGAAGTAAAAGTTTTGTAACCAGGTATAAAATCTGCCTAAAAGATTGTACTTCAATCAAACATAGTCTTTGATCCATTTGCAGGTATTTTAAAATAACTGTTCCACCTCTAAAAGTAAGGTTTCAAGATTAAAAGCATATGACACATTTTCTCCTGAAAATTGCAATGGAAGTCCTAAATCTGTGTATTTTAGTGTCATTTTGCACATCTACAAGCAGCTTTTTGTTACAGCATGTGCACTTGAACTGATTCATCATTGCACAGGAACAAATTCGAACTTAATGTTATTTGGCAGAACAGCAGGAGTCCAGTCAGTAGGAGCACAATAGCATACACCAGCTACTCCATTCTAGCTGCAGACATGTTAATTAATATATTTCTTTGACACCCCGATTGATTGAAATAGCACTTAAAGAGTAATTAAAATGTTTATTTCTGTTAGGAATGTCAACCAAGACGTGGAATATAGCAATTACCTATGACGGATTAGAGGAAGATGATGAAGTCTTTGAAGTAGTTCTGAACTCCCCTGTGAATGCTGTTCTTGGCACTCGGACAAAAGCTGTAGTGAAAATTTTGGACTCAAAAGGAGGTATTCTCTTTTGATCTTCATCATTAAGAAGGTGGGACAATCTTGGCTTCGTAGCTACTTATTTTCAAGCACAAGTTGTTCCTAACACTCACCTTCAGATCAAAATGCTTAATTTCTTTTTGGAGAAAACAGGCTTGACGGTTGCAGACCCTTTATTGCCTCACACAGTCACATGCATCCTCTTAGGAAACACAGCATGGAGAAAGCAACAAGTACAAAATGAGAGGGGTGCAAGGAAATAAACCACTTTTCATAACAACATGAGTTCAGTTCTCATTTATTAAAGTGGGAAAAAATGTTCCTAGGTCCATTAGAATTTTTTTCCCCAATTATTGTTTAACAGTTATTACAGACCTCTGAAAAAGATTTATTTTCTTCTCAAAAAAGAAACCTAACAACTAAACCCAGCTCTTAGCAATACATTTTCTAATGCTTAGCAAGCACCATCCACAACATTACAGCACGCAGCAGTGATGATTACAGAGTTTAGGCTTTTATGTCTGCATTATTATTGTGTTTTTCAGTGATCAAATGTGGTGTGCCTAAAATTGTACAAAAAAAGAAGCAACTGCAGAAAAACAGAAATAGCTAGCAAAGCAGCTGAGTTCTCTGAAAGCTGAAGAATGTTTTTTCTTCTGGTGCTTAGTGAAACAATATTTTAAATACCTCTGTTTCAATGAATTAGGCTTCATTTTACAAAAATTCCTTTTAAAATTTCAGATCTGTTTTCTCTTTAACATTCATAATGTGACTGAGGAGTTAATTGACACAACTGCTTTGTAGGAACAATAGTGTCCTGGATTTCTGAAGAGAAAATTGTCTGGGCATGATAGAAATATCACCAACGTTAGTTAAAACTACCTGTCTATCCATGACCAAAAAACCAGCACTCCAAACTTCAATCTATGCATGAAAACAGGTATTGTCAGCAGATGCTTGACTGAAATTCTGATCTGTGGGTAGACAGATGCGTTACGTATAAAAGCACACATATACAGGTAGTAGTTGCAGTCATAATCATAGCAAACCCCACAAATGAGGATGACTGAACAAACAGCAAATCAACCACATCAAGTGATAGAATCATCCAACTTTTAATGACAAGCTGTTTATGTGCCCATGTCAACGTGACCAGTTATCTGCTCATGCAGTTAGAACTGACCATCTGCCATTTTTATTGCTTTCAGGTCAGTGCAGCTATTCCCATTCTTCTGGCCAAAGCAAGCACGACTTCTGGGGGAGAGGCATGCTGTTTCCAGTTTCCTCAGGCTCCTCATCACCTTCCAGGCCTGGCAATACTCCCTTGGAAGGGATCCCACCGCATCCTTCCAAAGGGATGAGAGAGCACGGAGGGGACTCACGGCAGGAGCACAGCTTGGCGAATCGGTCAAGAACCAGGCTGAGAGTGACTGGAAATGGCAGAATAGTAAGAGACTTCTGTAGTGCAGTGATGGACTGATTTGTGAATTTACTGGGATGTGATTTCTTCATTTAGTTGTCATAATTTTCTAGTGATCCTACCTGACCATACAATTACCATAAACTACCTGGGTTTTCTCTGAGTCAGACCTGAGAGCTATTTAAAAATACTGCAAGGAAAAAAAAAAAAAAAACCAAACAATAAAAAATTCCTGATTTTGAAGTTCCATGTATGCAAGAGAAGAAGAAAAAGAGTTGGGGAAGGAAACATGCATCAAGTAACTTCAGCAATTAGGCAGCTTCTAATCTTGTCTAAATTATGGGTTAGCTAGAAGGAAGAAGTCACTAGAGCCAGACAAGTGTACAGAAGCTGTGCACCTGGTCCTGAAGTTTAAAAGCTGAAAATACTGTTAGCTTAAACAGGGAACAGCTACTTAAAACTTGCCCATTGATTTTCCTGCTTAAACTACATTGGTTTAGTTAGGTGGTTTAGTAACGCTCCACTATTGTAATCTTAAAAGTTAATGGAACCTGTTTATAAACACACTTGTGTGATTTTTAATGGCTGTGTTCAGAGGTGATTGGTTTCCATTCTGAAAGAGAAAGAATTAAAACCAAGGTATGTTCTGCATAATTTGTAACCTAGGTCTTGTAGTAAATCTTACATAAAGTCTTTTTGTTTCTATAATGCATGAATATGCCCATCTCATTCTGCTTTTCTACCTTTTTCAGGTTCATCCTTCATCTGTATTTAGAAATGGAACTGATGTGGTTTTCAAAGTAAGAGCATTATGAGTATTGCTCAGATATTTCTACGATTTCTTTCTGATTCTGTTCTTTCCAGGCTTTATCACTCTTAATATAACATTATGACCAATACTTTCTTTTTCTATGTATCTTTCTTTTTCTTTGGTGTCACTTTCCTTTGATTTGCAACAAGTTTTTTTTGTTTTGGGTTTTGGGGTTTTTTTTAGTTTATTTAAGAGTTCCTTGTATGTGCTAACCCTCTCTTTTCCGTCTCTGGTTCTCCTTGTGTGTGTGATATGGTAAAACAAAGTATCACGGGATGGTATCACTCAAAGTAGAGAATGACACCTCATCAGCTAAAGCAAACAAGAAGGCTGAAGTGTCAGTAACTAGCCAAGCACAACCACAGATAAATGTCGTCTCCTCTAGGAAGACAGAAATCCCACAAGCTGATAAGGCAGAACTAGCATCTGAACCAAGCTCAAGACATCAGGTATGAAACCTTTTGTTTCATAGGCATTTTCACCATCTGTTTTCAGTCATGCTGTTTTCCAACATGATTTAACACCTCTGAGATCTGCAGCCTAACCCTTCCCACTCCAAAGCTGAGTTTAACCAATACACAGATAAATTAACCAGTCAGCCCTTGAAGAGTTTTCATGGCATTAAGTTTTAATGTAAGACCTATTTAATCTGTTTCATGTAGCTTCTTTGTTTTGTGTAATTATTTTCCTTCAAATGTTCAAGTGACATTTCTCTTTCCAGGACTTTTACTCTTTCCAAAGGCCTGTACACCAGATTTAAAGGGGCTCTTACATTATGAAGAAAGCACTCAAAAGTTATTTCAGTGTGATGGGATGATATGGAAATTCTGGAATTCCCAAAGCAAGGTAAAAATGTCACCATGAGTATGCATCTAAATCAGAGCACAGAATCACTCAATGGAGAATGAGACTCTCAAGCAAAGGACCTTCCTCTAACAACTATTGACTTGTACAGGGAATAAAGGAGTTGTTCAGAGCCAGGTTAGCTGTCAGCAGAAAAAAGGTTCCTAGAGACACGATGAGGGCTTGATTGCTGGGGTTGCCTTTCCAGCTGCTTCTGGACGAACTACGGGAGCACTGATGTCTTGGTGCTCATGGGGATGTGGGCATGAGACAGTCAGTGAATGAAGGCTGTGACAGAACGAGCAGGAGTTACTAAAATTTGCTCACTTAGGTATTCTGTAAACATACCTCCCTTCCACCATGTAAGATACCATGCTGAATTTTGTTGCACTGCATTTCCTACACAGACTGCAGGAGACAGAAAATGGTGTACAAACTAATGTGATCTCTTAAGATGATTTTTGGAACTCAAACCTCACATCATCTTTAAAGCTGATCATTATAAATTGTAGGCTCCTCTTGCATGCATTTATTTCTTTGCATCTCATAAGCAATGCTGTACCTTTATTGACACACACTAAAGTTTATGTTCAATTTAATTCTGGGGAGGCCACAAGCAGCACCTCCAGCCTTCAGCCTGATTATTAGTGCACTGACCTAGATCACTGTGAGCAGGAGTCTGTTTTGCCTCTTCCTCTTTTATTTCAGGAGGTAAGCACGAAGAAATGTCCCTCCGGATGGAGTCATCACGAGGGCAGCTGCTACTTCCTGGTAGTGAATCACAAGGTCACCTGGAACGGTGCTGCTCGGGCTTGCAGAGAACAGTAAGAGACTTTTCCAAGTGAATGTGTTTGCTGTGTACTGCTGTTGCCCTGAGCTGAATGCTGCTCTCAAGGCCGAGTTCATTCGGATAAGCCCCACTGCAGTTGCCCTGGCACAGCTCCCCCAAAAAATAGAACAAGCCCTGAGATTCAGACCCAGTGGAGGACAGAAATATCATTAGTCTCATAATGTTTCAGGTGGTGATGTGAGCTTATTCACAACATGAATTCTCAAAGCTGTCCATCTGCAGCGAGGATGCTTTCCTAATGGGAGAGTTAGTTTGGGAGAAGAGAAATAGAGCAAAGATAGTCTTTCATCCTCTCTGACCCACCGCTTCCTTGGCTTTACCTTCACTTCATATAGCTACAGTACAATGTTGCCAGCTCCTCTCTGTCTCACCATATTCTTCTGAAGATGAAGCTCTTCAGATTCTGTAACTTGAAAACTTCAATTTAGCAGTAAATTTCTGACGTTTAAGGATAAATAAAAGCTAATAAATAAAAATAATAGTTGTCTCAAAATAGGAGACAAACAGAAAACCCACCAGTCTTGCTCTTTGGAGGCCTGCTTTGGTTTTAGGTGTGATAGCTTAGGACTGGAAGAAATGCTAGCCATGGTATGTTCTGGACCTTGTGTTGAATTGTGAGTACCACATTGAAGACCAAGGTGAATAATAGGAAGGGCTTTAACAGACCTCTCCATTAGTCCATGAAATTGAAACAGCGGAGAGTTTGAGATGAAAAAAACCAGAATATATTCCATAAGTGGTTGAAGGACATGCAGGAAACATGAAACATGGACAAGCATGCATAACAAACCTTGATTCATTCCTGTCAGTTATGCCAGATTATGTTGTCTTGGTAACACACAAAAGGAAAGGTTTGATTCTAATACCTCCCAGCTGATGGAAGTTATTCTTTACTAAAATGCAAGTATTACCTGCTCTTGTGAGCTCTCTACAAATTTCACATTGTTAATTGGTTTACTTAAAATTTCACCTGAAATGGTTTTCTATCACCTGCTTTTATTTTGTTACTTGTCCAAACAAAGCTGTAAGTTGTGAATATTCTATCTTTTTTAATTATTACTATTATTATTATTATTTCTGAAGGCTTCAACATTGAATTGATCCCTTGGGAACATACGTTACTCTGCTGGGAGGTGTTCCCCATTTCCTAGAAGAGTGTGCTCCCGGTGACCCATATAATTTGTAGGTGGTAACTTCTTGCTGAAGGCTGTAGTGTGCAATGTAGATGATAAACTGAATAACAGTAGATTAATAAGAGTGTTAAAAACCTCCACAAAAAGTCAAGGCATATTACTGAATCCACAAGCAAATGTATCTTAGGGCAGCGACGATTCATTTAATGTCAGGCTACCACAGACTAAGGAAGCTTTATCTTGGTAAATGAAGTACTTCTGGCCTCCATCTGGAAACGATCTACAAAAGTACAACCCCAGGCACACACTTAAAAGTGGTACAAGAAGATAACTTAATAAATTTTATTTTGTGCTTTTGCCCAGCTCTCCCTCAGCAATCACCACCACCAACTGTGGTATTTGAGTTATTAAGACTTCTACTGTTGACATTTAAATAGCTGATATATTCAACAAGAAAATAAAATCAGCATAGAGATCAGTCCTCAGTTTTTTAATAGATCAAACAAACATTAGATATTAAATGAAAACCTTAGAATTGACTTTCAGTAAATCTGAAAAAATGTCACTGAAAAATAAGAATCATTTTTATTGCTACAAAAATGGCATTATTTTAACCTTCAATTTTCTTGCTAGACTTTTTCTATTATACAGAAGAGGAAAAAAGCACAAGTGTTGTTAAAGTTGTTTCAGTAACAGTCTCCAACTAACCAGCCTCCTAACCTCTTGGAGAAAACAGTGTTATCCTGAGATGATGGACTTGAGACCAAGCTATACAAAAAAGACATGGATGGGCTGGAAAGGGTTCAAAGAAGGGCCACAAAGATGATGAAAGGACTGGGAAGCCTGCCATATGAGGAAAGGCTGACAGAATCAGGTTTATTCAGCCTTGAGAAAAGAAGGGTTAGGTGTGACCTCGTTGCTATGTTCCAGTACTTAAAGGGTGGCTACAAAGAAGATGGAGACTCTCTTTTTATAGGGTAATGAGTACAAGTTACTCCTGGGGAGACTTTGATTGGACACAAGAGGAAAACTTTTCACAATGAGAACAATCAGCCATTGGAATAATCTCCCCAGGGAAGTGGTGGATTCCCCAACATCGGAGACTTTTAAGCTTCGACTGGACAGGGTGCTGCGCCATCTTGTCTAGACTGTGCTTTTGCATGGTTGGACCAGATGATCCTTGAGGTTCCCTTCCAACCTGGTATTCTATGATTCTATTCCATCAAAGCAACACTACCAGTTTATTGCAGAAGCAAAGACATAACTATATGTACATGGGCTTATGCAAACCTATTTGGGCTTCTATTGAGCTTTGACATACCTTGGATCGATTTGTTCCAGGTGGCATACCAACCTTTTCTTCAGTTTCCATGTACAGGGACAGAAGCAGACACAAAAATGTGCTTGTCTTGATACAAGTTGCTATATGCCTCAGTGATAGTGTGGGTGGAAAAAATCTCAGCTAATTGCTGTGAAAATCTTGCACCATTTCTAACCCTTCTCCAATACATAGGAGGGAAAGGTGGTTTAAGAACTCATTTCTCTATCTTTGTTTTATATGCATGAAGAGGCCCTTGGCAACGTGAAGCGAAGCATCTGGGGGATATTACGGCTGAGTGACCCCACAGCAGCCTGATCTAGCAGCAATTTTGGTGATTTATGTAACAGTTCTTGTTTATCCCATAGTAACATGCCCTCCCCAAGGGTCAGTGCAGCAGGACTCACTTGCACGTGACATGGTTTCACTGCTGCCACTGCAGGAACTCTCCCTGGATAGACAGAACCCACAGTTGCATCTTTTGCTTTGTTAGTCAGATTATACCTTCACCTTCTTGAAGTTGAACATTTAATTACATCTTAAATATGGTCAGATTTCAGATCTTTTACTGCCAGCTTTGTAAGGCAGGGCCCGTTATTTTGTTTGGTGTTTGTACATTAGCAGCAGGTGGCCTCAGTCCTTGGGAATCACAGGCAGAACCACACCTAAAATAATAGGTTAGATCCTTCATGACGGCTCAGTGCAAAGCAGGATAGGCCCTGCTGCCCTCCTCTCCTAATGCTGTGCTAGTTCTCTAAGTGACTGCTTTAACTGATATTATTGCTAGTGACTTCAGCATAGGGATTCAGGTACCTAGAGACTTTCAACTGATGCTCCTGTAAACTCTGCATCATGTCTGCAAGCCTCATCTGAACGTTTTGAATACCACGAGGCATTGTAAGCAACACTAGACACCCGTTTCAAGGCACCAGGATTACTCCCTAGGTGATCAAACAAAAGCCTGGGATAAGCAGAGCCTCTCAGTCACTCCCCACCTTCACCATCAGTACAGGACCTGGATTTACGACAGCAGTTCAAATTAAATGTCCTCCTGTGCTGCGGAGACCTTCATAGCTAGCCAAGTGTGCTTTTCCTGAAGTTAAATTTATTGGAATGGTACAAAACTCCTTTAAATGTATTGGATAATTTAATGTAAACTGAGCAAAGTCTTTGTGCTAAGTGTTTTGCATATAATACTTCAAGGTCAGTGGCTACCCAAAATACTTCCTTTATGCTCTAAGATGATGGATGCTCTTGACTTGATAGTAAAAATTCTGGAGCACACCGGAATAATTTCAAATAATTTAGCACATAATATTTTAGGAATTAGTAAATTAGGAATAATTTAGCACAGAAATTAGTGATGTGTATGGTTTTTGGAGGGGGTTGGGGTTTTTTTGTTTGTTTGTTTTTCAAAAAGGCATTATGACCCCTTCTCTAGAGTCATTTAAATTAGGAAGTTGTAGATTTACATAACTCCATAAATAACATTATCTTGTAATTTCCTGTGTCTGGCGCTCTGCCTAGAGGCACAGTTAGAAATATCATCGTAAATGGTATGTTCCTTCAGGACTGTTCTCATTTCCCTCCAATACCTC